GTACTTCTAACACTTATATGTATACGCCCTATGACCCAGCACTAAATAACATGTAAAAGAGTATGCTTGTAGCACCACTCTTCAATATAACTGAAAACTGGAAATAATTCAAGTGTCCATCAAGAGTAGGATTGATAAGTAAATTGTAATGCGTTGTATGCAACAGTGTTTTCTTAACCTGTGGTAAAAGACTAGATTTTTCCCTAGGTGTCAGAATGAAACTCTTGTATAATATATATTACACACACAATATCAAACTGCTTGAAAATTTGTAAATGCTCCTTCTGTACTCATGGCGTTGCAGATCAGTGGCAAAAAGGATGTGAACAGACACTGGTTAATAAGCTGTACTGTGAATAGCACTACTTTGAAACAATGCAAGTGAACAAACTGCAGCTATACAGAGCAAGGTGGAATTTCATATATGAATGATTTCATTCATATAAAGTTAGTGACAACAAAAACTACTAAACTGTGATGTTAGACATTGGGATTAACCTTGAGGAGTAGGGGATTGTCATTTGAAAGGACCAAGAGGGAATTCCAGGGTTCTTGATCTTGGCATTGTATCATTTTTGTGCTAATTTTACGGATATGCTCATTTTGTGAAAATTGATCTAGCCAAACACTTATGATTTAGGGATTTATTGTTTGTTTTACCATTTACATTAAAATGATTGAATACCTATTAGACAGATGCCCTCTAAACTTATGAACATAATAGGTTAGTGGAGAATGCAGTGTATATGCAAGTATATGAACAAATGTGAAATTATAAATTCTGATTTCATGAAAGAAGTCTTAACAAGATGTAGTGATAGAGAATAATGAAGGAAAGAATCTATATAGATAAGGTGGTCAGAGAAGGGGCTTCTCTGAGAAGATATTTTAGCTGAGACCTACAGGATGAAAAGAAATCTGATGCCAAGAATGGAGGCAAAAGTCAGAATTTCAGTAGTTATTTTGAGTAGAGAAATAGAATTTAGTGGATTTATGGTAAAAGAGAGCATTGCAAACATTAGGGTATAACTTGGGAATTAGTGTTATGAAAATTGGGACAGGAAGAAATGGGATAGAGGGAAGTAGGATTTGAGGTTTACAGTCACAAATAATGGAAAGACCAAAATGGATAGTTTTTTTATTAACTATATTTTATTGATTATGCTATTACAGTTGTCCCATTTTTCCTCCTTGGCCCCGTACTCCCATTTCCTCCAACAATCCCCCTCTTAGTTCAAGCCCATGGGTCTTACATATGAGTTCTTGGCTTTTCCATTTCACATACTATTCCCAACCCCCGCCCTCCCCCCATCTATTCTATTCTGTACCCACCAACTATGTTTCTTTCTCTTTTTAAAGATTTAATTTATTTATCTTTAGAGGGGGAGGGAAGGAGAAAAGGAGAGAATATCAATGTATGGTTGCCTCTCTTGGGTCCCCTGGGTGGGAACTAGCCTGTAACCCAGGCATGTGCCCTGATTGGGAATCAAACTGCGATCCTCTGGTTCACAGGCCCAAGCTCAAATTACTGAGTGACACCAGCCAGGGCCTATGTTTCTTATTCCTTGTAACTTTTCTCCCCTCCACCCACCCAATAACAACCCTCTATGTGATCTTCATCTGTATGACCCTGCTTCTGTTTAGTTGCTTGTTCAGTTTGTTGGGTTGTTTTTTTTTTTAGATTGCATTGTTGATAGTTGTGAGCTGTTATCACTTTACTCTTCATAGTTTTAATCATCTTTTTCTTATAAGTTCCTTCAACATTTCGTACAAGGGCTTGGTGATGATAAACTCTTACCTTTACCTTGTCTGGGAAACACTTTATCTGCCCTTCAACTGTAAATGATAGCTTTGCTAGACAGAGTAATCCAGATTGTTGGTCCTTGCTTTTCATCTCTTTGAATACTTCTTGCCAGTCTCTTCTTGCCTGCAAGGCTTCTTCTGAGAAATCAGGTGATGGTCTTATGGGAACTCCTTTGTAGGTAACTCTCTTCTCTTGCAGCTTTTAAGATTCTTTATCTTTAACCTTTGGCATTTTAATTATGATATGGCTTGGTATGTTGATCCTTGAGTCCAACTTGTTTGGGATTCTCTTAGCTTCCTGGACTTGCATGTCTATTTCCTGCACCAAATTGGGGGAGTTTTCTTTTATTTTTATTTCTAACAAGTTTTCAATGTCTTGCTCTTCTCCTTCTGGCATCTCTGTGACTCAGATGTTGGTACATTTAAAGTTGACCCAGAGGTTCCTAAGCCTCTTCTTGTTTTTTTGTTTTTTTGTTTTTTTTTTTGGAATTCTTGTTTCTTCTTTCTGTTCCAGTTGACTGTTTATTTCTTCCTTTTGTTCCAAATCATTAATTTGAATCCTGGCTTCCTTCCCTTCACTCTTGGTTCCCTGTATATTTTTCTTTATTTCATTTTGTATAGCCTTCATGTCTTCCTTTATTTTAAGGCTGTACTGAATCATTTCTCTGAGCATCCTGATCACCAGTGCCTTAAACTCTGCATCTGATAGGTTAGCTATCTCCCTCTTGCTTGGTTCTTTTTCTGGAGTTTTGATCCATTCATTCATTTGGGCCTTAGCTCCCTATCTCTTCATTTTTGCAGCCTGTCTGTGTTTTTGTGTATTAGGTAGAATTAGAACTCCTTTGATTCCCATACTTGGCACACCTGTTACATTGTATGGGGCAGAGCCTTAGGTATTCACCAGGGCAGGGCAGTCCACTTCATCACTTTGTGGTGCCGTATGTAATGGAGGAGTCAGAGAGGGAACCAGTGAAGCTTGTTTGGTTCTCACCCTGTCTCCAGTCACTTTCCCCATGTCCCATATATGTTTGGTATCCTTGTGATTGCTGCCCTGTTGCTGATTCCCAGAGTGGGTGGGTTTGCAGACATCCTAGGACCCTATGGGCTCTTTACATGCACTCTCCTGAGATACCAATAGTTTCTTCCACCACTAGAACCTTGGGCTGTGCTTCTGGCCTGGGGCTGGGATTGCTAGCTCCCCTCCTGGTTTTTATCCACCACATGTTAATGTGAGACCTCCTGTTTTGTGGGCTGCTGCTTGTAGGTACTTCGCCATGCCATACCACATCTCTCTGTCCCTCCTACCCATCCGGATGAATTTCTTGTTTAAATCCTTGGCTGTCCAACTTCCATACAGTTCAATTCTTTGTCAGTTCTGGTTGTTTTTTGTTTTTAGATGGTTGTTATCCTTGTGGTTGTGTAAGGAGGTGAACATGTTCATTTTGGCCAGAAGTCTCCAAAGTGGATAGTTTTGCAAGAGGCCTGTCAATATCAGCATGAGAACAATTGTGGTATCTAGAATAAAGAAAAATCTAGTTTAAAAGAAAGTGCATTCCCACTTAATTTTCAAAACCAAGGAGAATATGATTAAGAGTTAATGGATGAGTTTTACATGAATTTCAGTGTGCTTAGCATAATTTGGGATAAATGAAAGTATATCTACATGTTAGAGAATTTTGATTCAAGCATTTGAAGATGGATGGCAAAAGGGACAGCATTCATTCCAACCCTGCCAATCTTTGTGTCTCTCTTGTTCCACTGGTCCTTCCCTTTACTCTTCCCCATCTCCCCAAGACACAGTTCATAATCACTCATTCCGGCTCTGTCAGTCTCACCTTTTGTTTCCTTCCTCCCTCCCTCATTTTTGCTCTGTACCTTTAAATGTTTCATTGAAAGTACTGAACACTTTCACATATATCATCTTCTTTAATTTAATCCTTTTATAACCCCAACAACCTCATGTTTTGGGGGGTGCATGTGGGGAAACTTTGGCTCAGAGAAGCAGTATGGTTTGTCTTAAGGTCACAACCTACACTCCTGACTCCAAGTACAGCACTTTTTCTACTGTGCCACAGAGGCCTTCATCTCTTCCACATCTACCCACGATAGTGTTATGTTTCATAGTGTCATCTGCATTATGAGTAATGAAAGTGTGCCCTATTGTTTGTTAGGTTTATAAGAGATATCTTCTTCCTAGAAGGGCTGAGTTACATATCTGAATATAGGATATATATGTATAATGTATGAATATATTTCACTTTATATAGACTTGAAATCAATTATATATATACCGAAGTGTTTTTTTTTTAATTAATAGCTTTTGAAGTAATTGGAACCTTTCTGAAGTATAGCATATCTGGGATCTTTATCACAATTCTGGTTTTATATGTCTTCGTAATTACTAAAATTCTGGAAGAAGAAACATATGACCTTGATGCAGATAATTAAAGAAATTGTTGCGATCCATAATCTCACTAAAAATAAGGAGTTAAACCAAGTGATTATTCAAAGCTTAGCTTATTTCCTACTGTTTGCCTTCTTCCCTCTAACTCTCTCTGTTTAATATCACGACTAATGAGTAAACATTGGAAAAATAGATTAAACTCAGATCACTGGTTTTCATCACTTGCTGGTAACTGGTGAAACTTAAGAGCAAGATTTGGAAGAACTAGGAGATTAAGAAGATTCATTAAAATGAAGTTGATGGATTATAGATTTTAATCCATTGCTTTTGAAAGTTAAGAGATGAGACATTTTTATTAAGGATGTACAACCTGTTCCTAAAATATCTGATAGCATTACATATATATGAACTTTTATGATGATTAGTAAACTGGAACAGTATGCTATTGAACAAAAGAATCTAGGCTTTCTAAAAATGAAGAAGATCCCTAGCTGAATTGATAATAAGGTAAAATAGAGTAGGTAATGTATGGATGTTGACCATGTCTCTTTTTGCCTGAAATGCCCTTAAGGGAGGGTTAGATCAACAACTTCTGGTTTCATTGAAAGCCATTTCTGGAGGTGGCTGTAGCTGTTGAGACAATGACTATACCTCTCCATTTATGTCTATGTATGACTGTTTTGAAGGGCAGATTGGCCGTAAGGTTACTCTGAGGAATGTAGTGATGTACCAGACTCCTTCATCAAGGCATTCAATATCCAATTCTTCCTTCCCTCTTTTTTATTTGCCATAGAGTGATTCTCATCAGTTCCGTGTCATGGCAGCTGTCCTTCGCCATTGTTTACTAATTGTAGGTCCAACTGAAGACAAAACTGAAGAGCTGCACAGGTAGGTAACCTCTCTATTGATATCTCAATGAAAGACATAGTTCTTAATGGTTTTTAGGCATCTAATTTTAATGGTCATAAGCACAAGGAAGTGAAAATATTATAGTAAATCAGGTAACTGGTTTGTTAGATATCATTACTGTGTTCTGATGAGAAATTTTCATTCTCTCACCTTTGACTTATTAATTGAGCCCCAACAGGAGATCCCAGAACAACTGTGATAAAAGCACACAGCCATTGAATACTGTGTATAGCATTATGTTAAGTTCTTTACAAAGATTAACTCCTTTTAATCATCACATGGCCTTAAGAGATAGGCCCTACTGTTTTTCACCTCAATAGATAAGCAATTTCTCGAAGATCTCATAGCTCTAATAAGTAAAAGAGCTTGGATTTGAACCCTGCTTTTAATTACTACACTTAAACTAATATGCTCACTAATTTCCTTTAAGAGTATTTACCAAGAAAATATATCTTAAGTAATATTCATTAAATTTTATAAACTTATAAGAACTGGATCACAGTCTGAAGTATTAATATGGGGGGAACCTAAGAAAAACAGGAATTATCTCCTGGAGGGTGGGCCTTCTGTAGTACAGGCTTACCCTGCTAGGTGAGTGTTCCAGGAATTCATCTTTGTCGGTGTACCAGCTGGCATTGCTGTGAGAGGCTGCATTTGGCCTCAGTGCATTTTTTTTTCCTGAAGACTCTTTACGGCGTTTGCCCATTTCATGACGGGTGATTTACAAGTGCACCTGCCCACACCATGGTGAGTATTCAGCAGTTTTTGACCAAAAATGGCCTGACCCCTATGCCCCACCCTCCCTATTCACCCCATCTCTCCCTGAGCAACTTTTTTTTGTTGTTTCCCCCGATAAAAAAAAGCCCTCAAAGGGAATCATTTTGCCAATGTGGAAGAGTTGAAACAAAACAGCAGAGTACTAAAAGGCATCAAAATTGACAAATTCAAAAACTGTTTTGAGCACTGGGAAAAAAATCTCAGTAAGTGTACTGAGAATGGAGAATATTTTGGAGGTGACTGAAGTTTAAACATGTAAGAATAAATATACACTTTTTTTATAAATAAGTTCTGGTTTTTGGGTCCCCCCCAAAAAGTTACCATAAAAAAAGTTTTATGACTTGCTTGTTAGAGTTTCAATGGACTACTATTAAAATTTATCATTCTCTGAGAACAGCTGAATTAAGTATTAATGCATATTTTTCATTCTTTTAAAAATATTTATTATTGATTTTTTAGAAAGGGAGAGTGAGAGGAAGAGGGGGAGAGAGAAACATTCATTTGTTGTTCCACTTATGTGTTCATGGATTGATTTTTGTATGTGCCTCGATCAGGGATGGAACCTACAACCTTGGAATATCAGGGTAGCACTCTAACTTACTGAACTACCTGGCCAGGGCTAGTCCTCTTTCTTACTTTCTATTTGAGATCTGGTTTACAGTAATAAGATTTCTCATTTTAACATGACTGCTCATGGAGCTTTATAAGAGTACAAGTGGCATTTTAAACAAGTCAAATGAATTTAAATCTTAAAAAAAGTAACTTTGGCATTACCACTGCTTTACAAATTTAAAAATTGGGATCTTAATAATAGAAATTACCTTTTGAACATTTGTAATACTCTGTTTTCTAAAATATGGCTTACATAAAGCTATAGTAACAGTATAAAATGAAATATACTCTTGTTATTTTTTAAGCAAATCCATATTATTTTTGTTATGATTAGTAGTTTATTATTTGATATTGCAATCAGTTTATTGGTGGGTATCTTTATATTATATACTATGCAAGTCTTCAAAAGATTGTTTTTTCACAGTTAAAAAGTAATTTTTTATGCAGCTGTAGATCAAGGGTTTAATTTTCCTGGGACTGCAATAAATCATTGTGTAATAACTGTAATAAATCATATCCTCTAAAAAGATTTTATTGAGCATTTTGTCTTATTGTAATTTTTTCATAATCAAGAGGCACTAGAAATTTATATGCTCCAAGAAAATGGGGTTTATAAGCCCAGGAGTAAATTGGTTTTGGGGGCTGAGGAAAACAAATACCACAAGTTAAAGAACATTCATATAAAGATGTGAGAAACATTCACATCCACAAAGTGGATGAAAAGTAATTGTTACACTAGTTGCAAAAACATTGCTAAGGATTTCTCTGAAGAATGAATTTAATATTTTAACAGAACTTGGTGTCCTTCAAAATAGAGCAAAACTATAGAGGTTTTAAAAATCAGAGTTTTAAAAAGGTAACCAGGTTTCTTTATTTTTCTTTAAATATTATCTTTTCTTAAATAAAATTTAAATTTTTCTTCAATTTGCTTTTATCTTAAAAGTTGCTTCAATAAACTACTAGCTACTCTAAATAAAAAGGGCTTTCCTTAGAGTCACAGATAGGATTTGTGGATAGAATTCTCAAAGGTTTTCCTGGAAGACTGAGGTTGCTGCTTACTTGACAGTTTATCTGGCATGGCCCTGCCTATCCCTTTAATCAGAATTAAAGTGATTAGTATCTTTTGAGCAGTAAGAATCTAGGCTAATCCATTTAATACAGAGAAAACTGCATTGACCCCAGAGGGCTATTTTATAGTAACCTTACTAGAATTGTAATATCTACTAAATTCTCATTTGTAGTGACCCTGAAAACAGTTTATGTGTGTTAAGACATAAGTTTAAGAAAAAACGTCAGAGTGTTCTAAAGGAACATCTCATTCCATTCGTAAACACTGATTTGTTTTAAGGAAAAATGTAATGAAATAGGTAAACCTGGACAGTATAGTGTATGGTTCTCATAATGAAACTCAAAGGGTTACAATAATGATTAAATGAGATATTAATAAAGCACCCTATCCCTGGCACTGAGGAAGCTCTCAGGAACTGGGGGAGCTGCTGCAGCCACCTCCATAACACTGCTACCTGATTACTATTATTTATAACAAGTGTGTTGCCTTTGAGATCCAATATTCAGTTCCAGATCTCTTTTTAAACATTGTTTCTTGATTTTGATATTTTGTTTTAGAATTTATTTCTGTATTTATCTTGGGATTGTATAGAGAAATGTTTCTGTTAATCTGTTTTTCTCAAGCCATATACGTTTAATGATACATGCATGTATGGAGCCTATAAAGGTGCTATAGGAGTTAAGTGAGTAAAAAAATGGCTTGGCAGCTGTTGTCTCAGTAAGACAGTGTTTCCCCCCACCCACCCCCAGACAAATGGAGAAGACATAAACATAGGAATAAAATGAGTTAGCTCACAATGACAGTTGACTTGACCTTAATTTTCACTAATCAACATTTTAGTTTTTATGTTTGTTATATTTCATTTCCTTTTATCTGTATTTATAGTAACAAGTAAATGGTTCAAGAATAGAAGAAACAATTCAAGACCAGAATAGAAGAAATACTACAAGATAGTTTTCAAGTTGTCTCCCAGTGAATTTAATTATTGAAATAGTAATTGCAGTAGAATTCAAAGGCAGACTCACTATGGTCTAGCATGATGAAGGAGCTCCTCCTCATTCATACTGTACCTATTCTCCATCCTCATTCAGACCTCTGGCTCCCTGGGGACTCCTTTTTCTCCTCTATTTTTGTGTAGGTTTACTTCCTTTCCTCTGTATTCTAAAGCATTGGTTCATTGTTTCAACCTGCTAGCCTTCAAGCACCCAAGCGTAGATCTGTCTGACTACTTTCTGTCTCTACTTTTAAACTCAGGCTGCTGAGTCCTGTGGAAAATTTTACCTAACCTGTCAGCTTGGTTCATCCTCTTCACTGCACACAGAGCTGTTTTTCAAAACGCAAATCTCTGCTTAGAATCCTCTCACGGCTCCCCTATGTCTTTACAATTAAGAGCAAATTTCTGTTGTCGCTGCATTTATTAACGATCTACAGTTTCATCTGGGAAATCTGTTCCCCTGGCTTTTGCATCTACTCCGTTGCCAGCACAACTCTGATGTAAGGGCATCAGTAACCCATATAGTTTAACATATACCTTATCATGGCAGTCCTTTAGAATCTCCCCACCCCAGTTCACACACGCACATGCACACACACACACCACCACCACCCCCTTCCTTCCTTTCTGGTCTTTCTGGTCTTGATGCCTACTAAGGTCCCTCACTGAAGGCCTTGTTCTTTGCCTTACTTAGACTTCTGGGCTTGTTTTCAGTTCCACACAGACACCATATTCTCTCATTCTTCCAGATTGTGCACTTTCCTCCTGTAGTGCAATATGTCCACCAGTCAAAAGCTCCTTAATAGTCACCATTTACTATGTGCCAGGCAGAGTGCCCTACATGCTTTTTTCCCCCACTAAATCCTCACATCACCCTGGTGGGATAAACATTGCTTTTTACTTTAGAGATAAGGACACCAAGGCCCAGAAGAGGTCATATAATTTGTGTAAGGCACACTTTTACTAAGAGGCAACCTGGAATTTAGCCCATTTCTCCACAAATTATGCTATGCTGCCTTTCCTTAGGAAAAGGAATATATTTTATTTATTTTTGTATATTCAGCACCTAGCACAAGGCGTAGTAAATATTTGTTGGGAATGAAGTGAGTTTTTCGCTAGTCTTAAAGAATGAGAATGTTCTAGGCAAGAGAAATCATACACAAATACAGGAATAGAGAACAATGACCAGGTGACTATGGGTTTAAAGTATTACGCTTTGCTGAGAGCAGCATTCAGGGGTCTTGCTTGCCATAACTCAGATCCAGGTTTTCTTGACAATTCCCTATCTGCTACCCCTCCAGTCTTCTCTTACCCTTTGCAGAAAACTCCTCTAGGTGTTGGCTATCTGATTCTTCTGTTATCCCCTCTTGAATACAATCTACTCAGGCTCTAGTCCCACCAGTATTGTACCAGAATGGCTATTACTGAGGTCCCTAGTGACTTCTGTGTTGCTAAATCCAGTGGACATTCCTCAGTTGTCATTTTGCTTAATCCGTTCACATTTGTTACAGGTGACTCTAGACTTATATACTTTTTTCAGGATACCATACAATCTGGGTTTTCTTCCTACTTCACTAGTTGTAATTTCTTCCTCTAGTCCTCAGGTTCCGTATGTTCTAGTGCCCCAGCCAGGCTCAGCCCTCATAGTTTTCTAGTCCACACTCACTCTCTTACAGATCTAATCCAATCATCTATCTTTAAATATCATCTACATGCTAATGACTCCTCAGTTTACATCTCTAATCCAGATCTCTCCCTGAACTCCAGACTCCGTAACTAACTTCCTACTAACACCTCCACTAGGAAGTCTAATAGACATCCCAAATTAAATATATTCAAAGTTCAACTTAACCTTCCCCTAAAAAGCTGTTTTCTCCTACAGTATTTCCCATTTCCGATTATGGTAACTCCAGCTTTCCATTTGCTAAAGCTAGAACCTTGGATTCTCACACCCTGCATTAGCCTGTCAGGAAATCCTTCAAAATGTATCCAAATCTAACCATTTCACTGTTATTCCTCTGTGCACTCACCTGAATTACGAGAGAAACACCCTAACTGGTCTTCCTCAGCTTTGATATCCTGCTACCTGTTCTCAACATAAGTTAGAGTATGTCACCATGCAGACCCCTTCAGTGGCTCCCCATTTCACTCATTATAGAAACTAAAGTTATAAAAGCCTGCAAGACCAATGTGATCCCCTGTTATCTATTTGGTCTTCTGTCTGCTTCTTCCTGTTTGTGGTGGTTCAACCACACCAACCTCTTTGCACCTCAGGCATGCCACTGCTCTAGCTCTGGGGCCTTTGCTTCTTGCTCTTCTTTCTGGAAAGCTCTTTCCCCAGGGAACACAAGACTGACCACCCTATTCAAAATTACAGCCCATGTGTCCTGGCCATCTTACCCTCCTGGGTGCTCCTCCCAGACCACTTAATTGCCTTCTATTCAGTATTTGTTTTATTTACTTTTCATTGACTGTTGTCTCCATACTGGAAAATGAGCTCCATAAGGGCAGGGATTTGTCCCTGTTTTCTTCATAACACCTGCCTGAAGCAATACCTAGCACAAGTAATTAATATATAATTACTGAGTGATATTAAAATGAATTTAGGTATTTACACATGAAAATCTTGGGGAAATATTAAGGTTCATTTAAGTAGATTTTGCAGCCATGAAAAAAGATATGTGATCCCCAAACATAAAGTACATTTGACCAGGTGATTGGGTCTGCACGTACTGTTACCATGTTCCTTAATGTCACTTGGTATTAAATTATGTTTAGTCCAGCAGTCCATACGGACTGGATTTTAGATTGCTTTCCTTCTCCCACAGCAAGGCTTTAATCAGGGCATTAAGGAGCTCTAAATAGTCCTTGCTTTTAAATCTGCATATCAGGAGGGGGCTGGGAGTGTGAGTGGGAGGATGTCATGTCCCAGTGATTAATGATCTCTAGGAAGCTGAAAAGGGGAGAGTAATATACACACTATTTCTACCCCCTGGAGTAGGAATGCAAACACCATTGTGTGGATCTGTGCATAGTCACTGACTTCCTGGTAGCTGGAGAATTTCATACACTATTCTACCACAAATAAAACTGTCAGAGAAGTGACAGAGCTCAAAAAGCTGGCCTTTCTTACTTTAAAAGAATAGCTCAAACACAGTGAGCCAGAAAATTAATTTTGTAGTTGTTTGGGAACCCAGTTGTTTAATAAGAAATGAGAAAATTGGAACTTTTCTTGAAAAGCCTAAAACCTCCAAATATTTGTTGAATCAAACTGTACATTTGGTTTCTTAAGTTTGCTGAGTTCCTGGATCCTGTCTATTTTTAATGAATTTAAATGGAAACATTCCTTTGTAATGAAATGCATCGTCTTAAACTTTTCAGTGTGGTCTCTATGGTAGATGCAGAGAATTAAAATATTGATGGACTTCAGAGCCTATTGCCCTATGTGTTAAAAAAAAAATCCTCTAACATCTCAGAATGGCTTGCACAGTTTTAGAAAGTAATTCTAAAGCAGAGTTCTTTTGTTTCTTTTAACTCTATTGAATGTATGATATTTAGTAACAGTTTCCAAATGTTTAAGTCAGAAGTGAAACATTTTAAACTGTAGATAAGGAACTACAGATGTTTGCAAAAATTTTTAAAGACTTGTGGAGAAAGAATTTTATTTCCACCATTTGTGATTATTTGCAAATAACCAAAATTAGGGACTTTAACTGTAATAGTAATAGCAGCAGCAGCAGCTGTAGTAGATTTTTAGTGGGGACAACCAGATAACTTTTACTTTGACAATAACCATTCATCCTTAGGACTTGTTACACTGTTTTTGTTCTTGGTTCAGATTTCTTTGATACCCTTTACATTACTGCTCATTGCTCTGCGCTGTCTACTTTTAAGTCTTTGATTTGTTATTAATTTTTTTCATAAGAATAAAGAAAAGAAATACTCATTTGGGGGGAAATGGAGCCTACACTTCAGAGTAAAGGAGAGAAAAAAACTTGTATTTTATTTCTGTTTTGTTGTTCATTTTGTTGTATTTTTGAGAGTGTCACTATAGTCTACATTAAAAGGAACTACTGTGATCTAAATTAAGACAGCATCTGATAGATTAAGCCTTGAATTTGGTTTCCAAGTGGTTAGACTTTTAAATTGCATTTGCAAGAGTTTATTTTTAGTCAGGATGTGGTTATTTTTAGATGTGCTTCTCTGTCACTAGGAAATGTAATGCCTGTCTTTCCATTGTTGTTTATCAGGAAGTTCTGAGGCACAGGCTTATAAGATCCAGTGAGCACAGAAACCGACTCTCCTTTAAAAGAATATGAACTAGCGGGTGAAGGGAAATATGTTAATTGAGAACATACCTAATTTTTAAATTGTTGGTATCATTTTAATCTCTTATACACTGAGCAAGAGTGTAAGATTTTTAGGGAATACCAAAAATACAAGGTTTGGGTTCCCCCTACTGGTATATAGTCCAGGCTTGTGTATTCATTAACATATAGCAGAAAGGCCTTAGGGAGAGACTAACTGTGTTGGCCTCTTTTAAAGAGACCTGGTGATGAGAGAGCAAGAAAAAGCACCTTTACCCATTTTCTACAGATGTCTTACAAAAAAATGAGGTGATCCAAAAATTGTATTTTCTGCATCTAGAAAGAATAAAACTTAATCCTACAATATTTGGTTTTTAATGTTGCTGCCTGTGATAAGCTGCTTATATACAGAGCTTCTCAAATGCTTTATGTTGTAATCTAAGGAATAATAAAACACCAGTGGATCCACAAAAGGATTTAAAACCCCAAGGAAAAAAAGCAAAGCTAGCATTGTGTCGTAATAAAATTAAAGAGCTGGCGTTAAAGCTCACTAATTCCTATTTTAGCATTTCAGAAAGTGGCATGACATCATGTGATTGTGTGTGTCCGTTTAACATCTGTTCTTTCTAATTTGTCTGGTGTGTATTTGAAATAGTTCTCTTTTCTATCTCTTAGTAAATGCCAAGTAATATTAAAGGCTCATTTTGAAAAAGAAAAATTTTAATTGACTCCTAAAAGTCACTTCTGAACTTACCGTGTTTGCATTTTAAAGGACTATTCAATCAAATTAAAATATTGTATTTTTAAATTGCTTTTCAGCAATGCAGTCAACCTTTTAAGCAATGTTCCGGTCTCTTGTTTGGATGTTCTCATTTGTCCATTAACCCATGAAGAAACAGCCCAAGAGGCCACGACTCTAGATGAACTGCCCAGTGATAAAACATCTGAGAAAGAAACAGTTTTGAAAAACAATACGATGGTGTACAATGGTATGAATATGGAGGCCATTTATGTTTTACTCAATTTTATGGAGAAGAGAATAGACAAGGTAAGACTGACAAAATGGAGTCCTTGGGGAAATGCTTATAAAGAATGTAAATATGCCACACGCGAAAACATCACAGAACGTGATTTTAAAATCTAAGCTTTTTTAAATACCTGACATCTTACATAATTATTTGTACTCTGGAAAGCACTTTATTGTAATATATGTGATAAACCGCTGAAACACAGTTTTCAGCTTTATTTGTTTAAAACTGAAAATTCTGTTGCTGCAATGCCAGAATTGTGACTAATGCCTGAAAACAAAGGAAAAATTACTGTTCCATGTAGGTCCAAGATTTCATAAATCCTGGAAGTAAAAATTATCTTCCCCCCAAAAAACCTTAATGATAAGTGCTTTCTGTAATGTCTAAAAGATATCTTTAAAAGAAAAATCACCAACTTTCTATTTGTTGTGAGTTGCTTATTTTCTCTTATTTGTCATTTGCTTTGTCAAGTAACTATATTGAAAGGCAGCAAGGTAATTTGAAGGGGGGAGGTCATCAAAACCTTTGACTCATTTAAGCCCCTTAGTTAAGCCAGTGAGGACCCTACAAAAAAATAGCAAAATTCAGGAAGGAGAAAAGTAAGCCTTAGTAAACATGAAGGTAACTAATGAAATGGAAATATTGTTAGGAAAATAATTTTTAAAATAAGTTTTAAAGCTTTGGTAACATAAAATGTCTCCCCCTCAAAAAGGTATATTATATGCTATTATATGGAGGAAAGTAATACTGTTGGAAACTAAGCTAATGTAGCATGTACGGTTTTCTTTTTAGGGAAGCAGCTATAGAGAGGGCTTAACTCCAGTTCTCAGCTTATTAACAGAATGTTCCCGAGCCCATCGAAACATCAGAAAATTTCTCAAAGATCAGGTAACTGCTCAATGCACATTACATCAAAAAGTTAATCTTCTATGTGGATTTTATAAACATAGAGTTAATGAGTTGAATTCTTTCATAATGTTTTTTTCCTGAAAGTCAGAAACTCAGAAAAGTTTGTTTTAATTGTTGAAATCTTCCTAATCCGGAAATAACTGATCCTGTCTATTTTTTGAGTCATTTGTTCTTTTAGTCAACAAATACTTATTGAAATCTACTGTGTGTTGTGCGCTAAGCATTGTTTTAAGCATTGAAATACAGGTGAAGTCTTCGTCTTGTGGCATTTATCTTATAGTGGGGGGACAAAAAGTAAACATAAGTATATGATATAATGGCAAGTAGTGATACATGCTCTGAAGATAGGTGCAGCAGGGGAGACTTAAGAGTAAAGGAGGGCCTTTCTAAGGAAAGGACATTTGAGCAGAAATTTGAATAAGAAGAGGATTTCTGAGAATATTCTGGAAGAGGAATGTACCAGAGAGAACAAGTTCAAAGTCCCTAAGAGGAGACGATGCTTTGGAATGCTTAAGAAAAAGCAAGAAGGCTAGATAACAGTGTGCAAGGGGAAGAGTGGTGAATGAAGTGCAAGAGGTAAGCAAGAACTAAATAACTTAAGATTGTATAGGACTTTTGACTCTCTTTACGTGATATGGGAAAGCATTGGTCCATTCAGAGCAGGGGAGTGATGTGACCTCATTTAAAGATAACTCTGGCTACCATTTGTAGGATAGAATAGGAGTGTAAGTAGATGAGAGGAGACCAGCCCAAAGAGAGCTGATGATGAAGGTTTGAAGTAGGATGGTAGTAGTGGGTCATGGTAAGAAATCATTTTTCCATCACTGCATCTTTACCACCATATCTTTTGTCTCCCCTTCCATCACAATGGATGCATTGTCCCTATTTCCTTCTGTGGCCACCTTCTGCACTTTTATCCTGGATCCCTTTCCTTCTCACCTTCTCAAGAACTTGATTCCTGCATTTATTTGCACCCGAACACATCTTCCATTACAAATAAAAAACCCTCCCTTGGTGACTTCCGCCAAGATGGAGGCATAGGTGGAGACGCCGTGCTTTCTCCCACAACCAAGTTTAGAGACAACTAAATACTAGCAACAGAAAACACAGCCAGAACACAGAAAATTGAACTTTTCGGAAGTCTGATAACAAATTCTTCACCCTGATGGGTAAGAAGGGCAAAGCCAGCAGCTGGCAGAGTGGGGTTGCACAGGAAAACTCGGTCAGACAGACTCAGGCGCGCGGATCCCAAGCCTGGGGTTGCAACGGGCAGACCCAGTGAGCGACCCAGTGAATGACCGGTGTACCCAGCGTGGGTGCAGGGCGGCGGATTGACTGTGGTCCCGCATTCATGCGCACATAGAACAGCAAGGGAGTGGGCGGTGAGACAGGACCCAGCAGGCCCCAGCAGCGAGAGGCAGCAGAGGGAGTCGCCATTTCCCCACTCTGACCCCGCCCCCACATACAGCATCACAACCCAGCGACCTCAGTGGCCCTGCCCTGGTGAACACCTAAGGCTCCGCTCCTCATAATTAACAGGTGCGAACAGACCAAAAATGGCTCAAGAAGATTTCAAAGCCCCAGACCCCATAAATCTAAGCAGCAAAGAAATAGCAAAACTTTCGGATGCACAGTTCAAAACACTGGTGATCAGGATGCTTACAGAACTGGTTGATTTTAGTCATAAATTAGAGGAACATATGAAGGCAAAACTAATTGAAATGAAGGGAATTGCACAGGAAACCAATAGTGATGAAGAGGAAACTGGGACTCAAATCAAGGGAGTGAACCAGAAGGAAGAAAATAATGGCCAAACAGGAAAATATGAAGAAACAAGAATTCAAAAAAAATGAGAAGAGACATCGGAACCTCCAGGACATCTTTAAACACTCCAATATCCGAATTATAGGGGTACCAGAAGGGGGAAAGGAACAGCCACCAGTGGAAAACTTATTTGAACAAATAATAAAGGAGAATTTCTCCAATATGGCAAAGGACAGACTTCCAGGAAATCCAGGAAGCTCAAGAGAGTCCCAAAGAAATTGGACCCAAGAAGAAACACACCAAAGCACATCATCATTACATTAGTCAAGATTAAAATGAAGGACAGAATCCTAGAAGCAGCAAGAGATAAGGGGACAGTCACCTACAAAGGAGCTCCCATCAGACTGTCAGCTGATTTCTCAAAAGAGACTTTCCAGGCAAGAAGGGGCTGGAAAGAAGTATTCCAAGTCATGAAATCCAACCAAGATTGCTCTATCCAGCAAAACTTTCATTTAGAATGGAAGGGCAGATAAAGTGCTTCTCAGATAAGATCAAATTCAAGAAGTTCATCATCACCAAGCCCTTATTATATGAAATATTAAAGGGACTTATCTAAGAAAAAGAAGATAAAAATATGAACAGTGAAAGGACAGCAAACTCACAGTTATTAAGAACCACACCTAAAACAAAAGCAAACTAAGAGGACAGCTAGATCAGGAGCAGAACCATAAAAATGAAGATCTCGTGGAGGGTTAGCAACAGGGGAGTGGAGGAGAAAGGGGGAGAAGGTACAAAGAATAAGTAGCATAGACGGTAGGTAGAAAATAGATAGGAGGGCAAGAATAGTATGGGAAATACAGAAACTGAAGAACTTGAAACACGTGGTCATAAACTAAAGGGGGGATGGTGGGGGAGGGGTGTGCAGGGTGGAGGGAAATGAAGGGGATAAAACAACTGTAATGGCATAATGAATAAAATATAAATAAATAAATAAATAAATAAGTAAATAAACAAACAGGTGATTATAAGGTATGTGAATTGTATATCAATAAAGCTGTTATAAAACAAAAACAAAAAAACCTCCCCTAACACCACTTCTGAAGCTGCTTCCCCATTTCTCTGCCCATCTTTAGCAGTATTCTCCCTGATTTTATTCAGCAGTCATGGTTTTGAAAATCATCCAAATACTGATGATTCCCAAATTTCTATCTCCAGCCCTAACCTATCCCCTAAGGTCCAGACTTATATAGTAAACTACCTACTCATCTCCTCCCATTGGATGTGTAGTAAGTTGTAAGTATCTTTTTTTTTTCCTTACCTGAGGACATGCTTATTGATTTTAGAGAAAAGGAAAGGGAGGGAGGGAGAGAGAGAGAAAATGAGGGAAAGAACCATCAATCAGTTGTTTCTTTTATCCCCGCCCCCCCCCCCCCCCCCCCCACTGGGCATCACACATGCAGCCTAGGCATGTGTCCTGACCTGGAATCAAACCACAACTTGTTGGCTTACTGGACAATGCTCCTGAGCCACACTGGTCAGGGCAGATGTGTAGGAAGTATCTTAAGTTTAACATATCCCAAACTAATCTCTTGATTTTCCATCCCCTCTACCTAGTTTCTTCTCTTCCTTTACACATTCCAGTACATCGTACCACAATTCACCCCATTGTTCATTTATTGCCTTATAGAATTTCCCCTAATAAATGAATGAGGTTCATTTCCCCCCTTTATGTTTGTGGTCAAGATTTAGAAAGCACTTCACTATGTGTAGAGCATGTTAATAGATGTTGCTGATTAGGAGAGATTAGAAAATAGGGTGTCTGTCTCTGAGGAATTTACAGTCTGTTGGAGGAAGAGAGAGGTATTATGAAAATATAAATAGTCATTTGGGCAAAATAAACTAGTTAATTAATGAATTAAGGTCATTTCCAAGTTTGACTATGTTAGGACATTTTACCATGACCAGGAGGACTTGAAGAAGAAGAATAAACGAAAATACTCTTAAGTTTTATACATTTTGCTTCGTCACATAGGAGATCCAGGCACAACTAAACTGTTTAGATTTTGCTATCTCTAATCAAGACAGCCAAAAAACCTTATTTGTTAAACAGCTTCTTTATATGAAGGCCTTGGGTCACCTATTATGTAGATACAAGAGGTAATGAGAGACACTCCCTGTCCTCAAAGAAACACTACAGGATAGGTAGATAAGTTAATGAAACTCTGTAAGTAGATGAAATTGTGCCTTGTAACTAAAGATACAAGGCACAATACATAAATCTACTTTCCTTCTGAGGAGGATACACTGTAGAGTGTGATAATCAGGAAAAGCAGAACTTAAAGTAACAAATGACTAGCTTTGATAATAGTGTAAATGGAACCTAATTATTATGCCCTATAGTTAATACCTGATGAAATCCTATTCATGTATACCCAAAGGAAATTGGTCTTGACTGTTCTGTGTTTGGGCAGGTAGAAAGAGAATAGATGGTAGAAATGAGTGATCCAAGTTGGGTCAGTTAGTCGGTAAAGGCATATAGAAGAGATGAGGATGCTGTGAATTTGAAAAATAAGCTGGACGAGATTTGTCAAAGGAAAGGAAGATTGTTGGAGAGTAGTATTTGGAAGGTAAAAGAAAGGGTCCATACCTATGTAGTTTGTCTGGGAGTGATATATAAAAATAAAAACATCCAAATTGCACTTAAAAAACGTGTTTTAAGGAGTCCAAAATATAGCTAACAAAATTTTTGTGTGATAACCTTTGTTAGTAGATTCTGTACTCTGGAACTGTGGGAACATGCTACATGAAATCATTTGTTACAAGTCCCATTCTTCTAGAATTAGAAGGTAAACTCAGTATGGTTGACTGAAGCAAATAGTAAGACTTTCCTGTACCACTGTGTTGTGCCCATTGAACACAAGGAGCATTGCGCTCTACCCTGCCCTTCCAGGGATGTTAAAATAGGGATTTTGTAAACCCTTTGGGTAGGTTACTCAATTTTTTGAGACTTTGTTTCCATTTTTATTCATAGCTATATCTTCATTGCTTCCAGTACCTTCTGATATATGGTAGGCACTCAGTATAGAGAGTGAGGGAAGGAAGAAAATAAGTGGAATAGATTAAATAAAATAATATACATATAAAAGGTCTGCCACAGTAAATTATTATTGACTGAATGAGGATTGACTCTGTCTATCCTCATTCGTTAGCATAGTGCCTAGCTTATAGAAGTCACTTTTAAAAATTGGCTTGAATTGATTTATTCTTCCTTCAGACAAGAATTATTGCCTATAATTACCAGGCACTGAGAAGAGTAAACAAAACAAATTTCTACTCCTATACCACACTGACTCTGGTAGGAGAAGACAGGCAATAAAGAAATAAGTAAATACTGTGTCTGGTGGTGATAAATGCTATGAGGAAAATTAAAGAAGAAGGGCAGTAAAAAAGAAAATGGTAAAGGTTAGTTATGTAGGTGGTCAAGGAGTATCTTCCTATAAGTGACATTTGAACAGAGGCCTGAGGGAGTAAGGGAATAAGCCATGCAAGTTTCTAAAAAAAAGATACACTGGGCAAAGGGAGCAGCAAATGCAAAGACCAAGAAGCAGAAAGTTGCCTGGTGTGTTTAAGGAGTTCCATGGAGGTTTGTGTGGCTGTACCCATGTAAACAAGTAGTAGAAAAGCAGTCAGAAGAGTAACAGGAAGCTGGAGTGTGTGAAACCCAAGGGAGTAGTAAGGACCTTGTCTTTTCCTGTGAGTGGGATGAGAAGCCATGGGAACTGGAAGACACTGAGAAGACATGACCTGACTTTCAAAGGATCATGTTGGCTGGTATATAGAAAATAAGTCATAGAAAGACCAGGATGAAATCAGAGACCACTTAGGAGGCTGTGGCAATAGTCCAGGTGAGAAGTATTGGTAGCTCGGATTTGGTAATACTAGAGGTAGTGAGAAGTGGTTGGATTGCGCATATATTCAAAGGTAGAGCCCAAAGTAATTTGTGGATAGAGTGAATGTGGGTGTGAAAGAGAGGAGTCAAGAATATTTCCAAGGTTTTTGTACCAAACAGTTGGAAGAATGGACTTGCCATCTAATGAGGTAGAAAACTACAGAAGGAACAGCTTTGCTGAGAGCATCAAGAGTTCTATTTAGGACAGGCTGCATCTGAGAGGCCTATAAAAGTCTGGAGGTCAGAGAAGAAATCAAGATGGAGACGTAACTTAAGGAGCTATCAGTATATAGAGAGCATGTAATGCCACAATACTGGATGAAATCACTCCCTAGAGTAAGTGAAAATAATGAAAAAATATTGCTCAAGAACTCAACCTTTGAATATTCCAACACACAGAAAACAAGAAAGAAGTGAATCAGTAGAAGAAACTGAGAAAAAGCTATCAGTGATATGAGAGGAGACCCAGAAGAGGGAATGGAATCTGGGTAGATGGGTGGGTGACTGAGCAAATGAAACCAAGCAAGTTACACATTAAGCCTTCTGAGGCTCAGTCTATACAGTTGGGATGATGGTGATGTCACTACCTCCCATGCAAGGTTACTGTGAGGATTGATTATGGAAAATAGTGTGTGTGTCACCTATTCTGCCTATTAGCATGTATATCCCCTATTATAGAAACTAGCACATAGAAAGTAATAATAGCCATTTTTATTATAAAATAAAACGTAAGGACAGATTTTTTTCTAGTAAATGGAAAATGTTACAGAAATTAAATGAAGGGAAAAATTGATATGAGTCAGTGTATTAAGGAAGCCTCCATGGAATAAAGAAAAACATGACCCAGACTTGAAAATGGATTTTGATAGAGGCAAGCAGAGGGATTCCAGGTGCTGTGATGAGCAGAAGCTCAGAAACGGATTTGAGTACATCTTGCTGGTACAGCGAAGAGATGTTTCTCTTCAAACAAAATTTCATTACAGGCATGGACTTATTTGAGGTTTATTTTTGTTGTTGTTTAGTTTTATTTTATTTGGAAGCATACCTATTTATTTTTTAATGTTTTTTTCCACTCTTACAAACCTGAGCTCAGTAGACATTACAAGTCTAACCAGTTTCATAATGTCATCCTTGCTTGCCCTGGCACCCACGATTCATGATGGTTTTTGCATTTGTACCGTTAGGTTTTACCACCACTGAGGGATGTGACAAATCGACCTGAAGTCGGCTCAACTGTGAGAAATAAGCTGGTGCGCCTCATGACACATGTTGACCTTGGAGTCAAACAAATTGCTGCTGAATTCCTTTTTGTCCTTTGCAAGGAGAGAGGTAGGTTAAACTCTCCTTGCCCTCTACTTTTATATTTATCTGAGGGAGTTCCAAAAATCTTTCTGGTGGTAGTAGGTATATCATTCCACCCTTTTCAGAGGTTACTCTCTATCTGTTCTATTAGGGGCCTGAGGAGATACTAAAAGTAATAATTTAAAGACATTTTCTGTTTGCTTCTCAATTCATTGAGACAGGCAGATATACTACTAAACACACTCACACTTAAACTCTGTCTTCTATATCCTTAACCCAGACTTCTAAATCTTGATGAATCGAGACCTGGATCCATTATGAAAAATCTGCGCAGCTAATTCAGATGCTGTATTAGTTCTGGTTTTGATAACTGAAAAAGGCCTGGGTTAGTTCCCCTTTTAATGCCTCTTGCAATTAAAGCTATAGGAGCTTTGGTTTCTTCACTAAGTTCTTTTTTTCCCCCCTAGGATTTTGTTTGTTTGTTTGTTTGTTTGTTTTTAGAGAGAAGGTAAGGGAGGGAGAAAGAGAGGGAGAGAAACCTCTCCCCTCTCTTGATCTGTTGCCTCTTGTACATGCCCCAACTGGGGACTGAACAAGTGACCTTTTGCTCTGCTGGATGATGCCCAACCAACTGAGCCACACCAGTCAGGGCTCTTTTTTTAAAAAAAAAAATATTTTATTGATTATGCCATTACAGTTGTCCTATTCCCCCCCCTTCATTCCCCTCCACCCTGCATACCCCCTCCTCCACCATCCCCCCCCTTAGTCTATGTCCACATGTCTCAAATTCTTTAGATTCTGTATTTCCCATACTATTCTTGTCCTCCCCCCTGTCTATTTTCTACCTACCGTCTATGCTACTTATTCTTTGTACCTTCTCCCCCCTTTTCCACCTCCCACTCCCCTGTTGCTAATCCTCCATGTGATCTTCATTTCTATGGTTCCGCTCCCGATCTAGTTGTCCTCTTAATTTGTTTTTGTTTTAGGTGTGGTTGTTAATAACTGTGAGTTTGCTGTCCTTTCACTGTTCATCTTTTTTATCTTCTTTTTCTTAGATAAGTCCCTTTAATATTTCATATAATAAGGGCTTGGTGATGATGAACTCCTTGAATCTGATCTTATCTGAGAAGTACTTTATCTGTCCTTCCATTCTAAATGAAAGCTTTGCTGGATAGAGTAATCTTGGATATAGGTCTTTGGATCTCATGACTTGGAATACTTCTTTCCAGCCCCTTCTTGCCTGTAAAGTCTCTTTTGAGAAATCAGCTAACAGTCTGATTGGAGCTCCTTTGTAGATGACTGTCCCCTTATCTCTTGCTGCTTCTAGGATTCTCTCCTTCATTTTAATCTTGGCTAGTGTAATTATGATGTGCACTCTAGCAAGGGCTCTTGACTAAGTTCTGTAGTAAATAAATTGTTAGAGTACGAGCTATTGACTAAGTTCTGTAGTAAATAAATTGTTAGAGTACGAGCTATATAGTATACTAGATAGAAGTACAAAAATGTGTAAGAGACAGCCTTTACTTTTGAGATAGGGTAAGATAGAAGTAGAAAGATTTTAAAAATAACTATATAACATAATTACATTATAACGTAATGAATGCTGTTTTATAAGTAAAAAAAGTTATTGTCTTCTGAGACACATCTAACAATTTAATATGTTTCCTAAAATTGTATTGGTTATTTGCTAGGCAAAATGTATGTTCTCCAAACAAGGCACTTTGACTGTTATTCTGATATTCTTACCCATTTCTTCATCTCCTAGTTTATGAACATACTGGTATAAAAGTCCCATCTAAGCAGGTTTTATATTCCACTCTTTTATAGTATCTCAGTTTTGTGAGATAGATCATTTAGAAGTAGAAAACTTTACTCACATCTCTCAAAATCTTAAGTCAGTTGAATTCTTTTTGTTTTTTTACCCCAGCTTTATCAAGGTATAATTGACAAATAAAACTGTATACATTTAAAGTACATAACATGATGATTTGATATAAATACACATTATAAAGTTATTATCACTTTCAGTTAATACATCCACTATGTCATATAGTTACTGTGTGTGGTGAGAACACTAATTTTCTTAGCACATTTCAAATGTACAATACAGTATTAATTATAATCACCATGCTGTACATTAGATCCCCAGAACTTATTCATGTTATAACTGAAGGCTTATACTCTTTGACCAGCCTCTCCCCACTTCCCATACCCCCTACCCTACCCCTTGGTAACCACAATTGTACTCTGATCCTATGAGTTGTCTTTTTCTTTCTTTCTTTTTTTAAGATTCTACATATAAGTGAGATTATACAGTATTTGGCTTGTTCACTTTGTATAATGTTCTCTAGGTTTATCCATATTGTTGCAAATAACAGGATTTCCTTCTTTGTCAAGGCTGAATGATATTGTGTGTGTATGTGTATTTATTTATTTACCATATTTCCTTTATCCATTCATTTGTTGGTGGACACTTAGCTCATTTCCATATCTTGGCAATTGTAAATAATGCTGCAATGAACATGGGAATGCAGATATCTCTTGGGGATGCAGATATCTCTTGGAGATACTGATTTCATTTCCTTTGGAAATATACCCAGTAGTTGGATTGCTAGATCATATGGTAATTCTGTTTTTAATTTTTTAAGGAACTTCCATAGTGTCTTCCATAATAGCTGCACCAATTTATATTCCCACCAGCAGTGTACAAGGAATCCCTTTTTGCCACATGCTTGCCAACACTTACCATCTCTTGTCTTTGATAAAAGCCATCCTAACAGGTTTGAGGTTGTCTCTTATTTTGGTTTTGGTATACATTTTCCTGATGATTAGTGATGTTGAGCACCCTTTCATGTAATAGTGGCCATTCTTCCTTGGAAAAAAGTCTATTCAGGTCCTTTGCCCAGTTATAATCAACTTACACCCCTAAACCCTCAAACAACATAGGGGTTTAGGGGTGCTGACCTCCCACACTGTTGAAAACCCACATATAACTTTGTCTCCCCCAAAACTTAACTACTAATAGTTTACTGTTGCCAGGAACATAAACAGTCAATTAACACATATTTTGTGTATGTATTGTATACTACATTCTTAAAGTAAGTGTAAAAATACAAAATGTTAAGAAATTCATAGGGAAGAGAAGATATATTTACAGTACATATTTATTGAAAAATATGCACGTAAGTGGGCCCATGTGCACAGTTCAAACCTGTGTTGTTTGAGGTTCAGCTGTATTCATATTTTTGCTATTGAGTTGTATCCATTGAATTTCTGAACTTCATATTTGACTGATTGATTCAGCCACTTCAGTTCCTGCTATGATGGTATATTAGCAACATAATTTGACCAATATCATAATGATCATAGCAGCTGTTATGTGTTGAGGTACCATGTGCTGAATGTCCTATTCCATAATCCCATTGAATTCTCATAAGGACCATCTAAGATAAATAGTATTCCAGTGTCATAAGGGAGACAGTCTGGCATTTGAGAGCCTTTCAGTAACTTCTCCAAGGTTACGTAGTTGCTTAGGGCTGAAGCCCAAATTTGAGTCTTATCATTCAGTTTTGCCATATTTCCTGTAATAATAATTGCCTTCAATTATTATCATAGACTAGGTACTTAACATCTGCTCTTTTAAACAACTCAGTTCTTTCATGACTTTGAAAAAAGAATTGACAGGTATAGTACCTAGCATATAACCTCTGAATACTGGCTGAATTGAATCAATTTTTCTGAGATCAGAAATTAGCTGTTTTTTAAAGTATAATTATGTATGTGTGTGTGTATACACACAGATCTAAACCACCCACATGTGTATCCATTAAAAAAGGTTTATCAAAATAAACACTAAAATAGTATCCATTGTTTCCTCTGAGTAGTAGGATGACTGTAAGCTTTTTTTAGTTCTCTGTATTTTGTAATTTTTTCTGCAATGAGCATACATTTCCTGTGTTACTTCTAAAAAGTTATTAAATGGGGAAAATAAAGTTTATTCCTTTATAATTATATATCTAAATAACATAAATTACATGTCTAAATATAGTCAAATTACTAATGACTTAGAGGATGTCAGCAAACATAGTAGATGTATTTATGCCTAAATATAATAGCCTTTCTAATGACTTAGTGGATATCATAGCAAATACAGTGTGTGCATTTATAAAGGAGTTTGTTCATTGTTTTTCATTTGCAGTGGTTAGCTTCATTCCCCCTTGAACCCAATATCTGTGTTTCATAGTCCTAACTTTGAGCCCAAAGGCAACCCATATTAGCAAAATTATATCTTTTTTATTTGACCTTTAACAATTCATATGTATAATTGAATATGTACAATTCATCTGCCTTTTCTTCCAATTTGATTTTAACTTTAGTAGATTTATTCTTCTGGAATAAAAATTTACTAATTTAACGAATACTTTTTGAGCTAGAACCTAGGAATACAGAGGTATCTGTACAAGATAAAAAAGTTTTCTGCCCTCATATTATTTACTTTCTTATCAAGGGTTATGACTCAAATGCGTACAAGTGCCAGGCTGGTAATAAAAGTAAGTCAAATGGACTGGACATAAGATGATAAGTGAAAACTGATACTGGGCTCATTGTGGAGGAGATAGTAGGTTGGGACTGGGGAACAGCTGATTATTACTATGAAGGAACATGGAGCCATTGTTACCAAATCTTACATTATTTTCCCAGAGAAGCCAGAACTCTGAATTATTACATAAAGTCTCTCAGTTTTTAAATGCTGTCAACTAATTCTAATTTTAAAATCTTCTGGCAAAAAAAAAAGTTTGTAGTCCTCATTGAACTTATAAAAGTTATCAAAATTTGGAATTTGGGTTGGGTTTGGAGGCAGACTGTAGCAAAAGAAAATAAATTTCTAGTGGCTGAACTTACCTTTTAAGGATATTCAGAGCTGTTTGAAAATGAAGGTACCATTTATTTTGTTGATGGTTTCCTTTACTGTACAAAAACTTGTTAGTTTGATGTAGTCCCTTAGATTATTTTTTCTGTTGTTTACC